TAAACAAAATATTTTAAATACTAAAATCAAAAAAATTGATAGATACTAGGAAACTTCAAATTTCCCTGCCGCGAATATAGTTCATGAGTTTGCCACACCGTGGTGCTGCCATGCTCACTCAGCTGTACATATCACTGCCTTAGTCGCCTGTCATCACCACTACAATATATTTTCTTTTTGAATAATTTATGTTTCTACATTAAAGTTATATGAATCGCCATCAAATAATATTAAAAGCATTACATATTACTGGTATTGGGATTTATTTATAGGTATTCTTAATGTAAACAAAACTTTAAAACAAGGTAATGGAGACCCAATTTTCGATATACAAACAAATCGACTTACAAAGAGCCTCTCGGTCCCCATTATGTTCATAAGTTGGGGACTTACTGTATATGAATATATATATATATATATATATATATATATATATATATATATATATATATATAGAGAGAGAGAGAGAGAGAGAGAGAGAGAGAGAGAGAGAGAGAGAGAGAGAGAGAGAAAGTGAGAGAGAGAGAGAGAGTGTCCGAGAGAGAGAGAGAGAGAATAGAAGTTGCTCATTGTTGAGGTTAATCTCTAAGTATTAGTCCGTTTTCTTCGAAGAAGATTATGATATTACTTTACATATTGCCTCCATATGTGAATATGGAGGCAATATGTAATTACTCAAGGTATAATTTCTTTATGAAATTTCAGGCTTCATCATCTAATGAAGAGAAGAAATATTTACTTCTAAAAATTTAATTTTTGCCTCTTTTTCAGGCCAGTATGGCTGACTGCCCAGATATAGAATTTAGTTATGATGATGCTGACTTGCAAGAAAATGAAATGGCTGAATTATATTCATATACTGAAGGGTCAGAGTTCCAACTCAATCTTAAGGTGAGGAACTGTTCCAGATATGCGTCATTTACTTTTAAGATTTTGGCAAAAGATTACTCAGATGTAAAATCTGCCTCTTTCTTCTTGTCTTTCAGGATTTTCCCAAATAGATCATCTTATGCCTCCTTCAAAGAATTTTATCATATCTGTGTCTGTTTTTTTTGTATCAATAATTATATTAGTTTATATACAATCTTCAGAGTTAGGCTTAGTAGATTTTCTTGTCTTGTAATTATTAAAAATACTTTTACATACATGTTGGGCTTTATTGAATTCATTTTGACCTAGGCCTGGGAAGAAGTGTGTGCA